ATGTGCTACCGAAATTACCAGAAGGATAGTGGCCCCTCGTAACGAATTGAGCACCAGAGTTGAAATTGTAGATTCATCAGCCGCTACACGTCTAATGAGGACTCCATCGAAGTTGTTTCGTTCTCTCTCCGAATGATCGAGTTAGGGTTTCAATAGAAAATAAAATTGGAAAACAAGTGCTTAAGATAGCACATTAATACTTTATTCAAACTTGGGTTGAAAATTTTTAGAAATCTTTAAGTACAAAATTCCGTAAATTAAGTTAACCTTGGCGAGAATTTTAAAAAACATTAACTGAAAAGAGAAGCGGGAAAGTAGTCAAAACCACAGCCACGGTGGGACTGACTAAACTTTATAAAATTATATCTAAGGGTTTGGTCCGACGTCCCCTTGCGAAACCTTCGTGCATTGAAACAGGATAACTCCTAGCAGAAAATGCGGGAGGAAAAAGGAAAGGACAATGTAATGAGAAGCAAGAGGAGCTTGTGACGCCATGTTTTCATCGTGAAGAATCTCAGCCTGTTCGCGCTAGCAATATAATGAACAAAGGAAAAAACAGCATGTGTGGCCCACGCGAAACGAAAAGCCTTTCCAATTATCTCGAAACTGAGGATTTATAGTTTTACGACCGTGACCGTTGAGTGTTTTTCCCTCCGTTATTTTGAGTTTTCATAGAAATGGTTTTTGTCATGGACTTTGGAAAGTTGTTGAGTTGACACGCAGAGTCAAGTATTGAAATTTATGTTTTCCGGTAAGATTTTGTCAAGTTCGAGGAATTATTTTCCATCTCTTGTTCATTGTTCCCTAGTTGGGCGTTCTCTTCATTTTCAAATTTTACTAAATGTAGTTTTCGAATTTTGTGGATAAAATAGTGGATTAATAGTGCCATCTATGAAATTCAAGCCCAGGACATCACGCGAATTGATTTAGGGGAAAATAGGCGGCAGGTGCGTCGCCCGTGGGATGCTGAACCACCCTGCTGTGCAAGTGTGGGAAGGTTTAAATTAAATCAACGATGTAGTCGCTTTTGAGAACAGATCTCGTCAAATTTATTCAACTTTGAACTTGGGAACGTACTCCAAGAAAAAATTGATTTGCTGCTTGTTCCAATACAAAATTAACTCTAATGTTTTCTTACAAGTCTTAGAACATCCTTAGCCTAGCTTATTCTACAACATACCATAGAGAGAAAAGTAGGGGGTCAAGAAGGCACAACGTTTCGGTCAAGGTGTTTCCATCCCCACTTGGAGATTTTCAACACAACCCCTCTCTTTGGACCTAGGTGCCCAGGAACAAAGACTAGCACATGTGCGGAAAAACTAAGAGATAGGCCACTTCTCCTGGAGGGACTTTTCCGATTTTCGAATTCAACGAATTTCCAATGACAATTACGTTTCCACAAATGTGTATACAAAAATGAAAAAATTGTTCCCCAAAGACGTTTCAGCGCAGGGTTAGTAGTCATGCTGTTCTGAAATTTTTCCTCCTAAATTATTATGATTTTCCTATTTACTTGACGAGATGTACTGCGCACTCGCTGAGCCGAATTCGAATTTCGACTTCGGATTCGAGTTGACCAATAAAGAATCAGTCTTACAAGTTTCGACTCAGGCGCACTTCATTTCCGTATCTCTGCTTTCATGATAAGGAATGTACTCTCTCCCTCTTTCTGGGCTCTCACACATGTCTCGTATTTTATTCGTTCTCATTTTATTTTAGTAATTGTCTTGAATATCGTCATGTAATAGTTAATTATTTGAATCCTATTTAAATTTAATCTTACGCACTTGAATCTAGAAAAAATGGAGGAATTCTAGTCGCCACTATCTGATTCGGCAACATTATAAAGGAGACCATAATGACCACCGCTCAAAAATCGAATTGAAGAAGTTCAAAAGAAATGAAAATGGCCGCTGTGAGAGTATCAAATTGAAGAATGTTGAAATCTAATGAGGGCAAGCTCCGGTACGGGCGCCGAGGGATGGCGTAGTTGAAGAACTGGGTATTAATTTCAAATGACATCATTTTAATTACAGTTAAAATACAATATATAGAATAAGATACATGTGTAATTTCATGCATATGGAGATCATGATTTTCTTGGGAAAAAAAGGTTAAACTAGAAACTATCATGGCGAAAGGCATGCAAGAAAATATCGCCGTAAAACTGTCACTTTTCACGAAAAAAGTATTCTAAACATTACAAATATTTTAATGACGATAAATCATTCCGATTTTTTCCCTCAACTCGGTTTGTTGAATGAAAAACGATGAATACATTTTTTTGTCATTGTTTATGACTTTTCATTAGACAAATAGTTCAGGTCCGGGAAAAAATAATTAGAACGGTTGTGCTTAGCATATATTGAACTCCTGATGAAGGGGTTCTCTTAATAAAAATCGACTTTTTCTATTTCGCTTGAACACATTTTTTGAGAAAAAAATCCGTTTTGCAAGATTCTTTTATGAATCATTTGTGCATGATATGATGAACCTATGTAATGATAGGAAATGAGAAAACAACTTCCAGTGAACACTATTAAAAATTCCAAGAAACCTTGAAAATCATTTGTTTATGAACTTATATTGATAAAACCGTTGCAAATACGCAAAAATATTCCAAGAATTTTAGCCCGTCGCAAGCACGGGAATTTCACAGAAAAACGTTTTTCCACCCGGAATAGTCAGGATATTAATTATTTATCAATAATCTGCTGGTACCAAAAATACCCAGAAATTTTACTAAGGTACTTTGATACTCTGTTTGAACTGATGAAAAAATTTAAAATAAAAGCTAGTATTTATGAAACTTTTTACATAAATGAGAGAACATTCATATATTTTAAGACAGTGTCTAGAGACATGGTATATGGCAATTGCCATACGCCCAAGGTGACGTTTACCATATGTTTAAGCCCTTTCTTGCCATACACGTATGGCAAAAGCCATACATGTTGCATACATGATGCATGTATGGCTTTTGCTATGCGTGTATGACTTTTGCCATGTGTTTGCCAAAATGTGTGTAAGGCTTTCGTCTTTAGGTGCGAATTATGAGTGAATTTTGAGCGAAGAAAAACAAATTCTAAGATTTGATATTAAAAAAAAGAGCTTCTGTAAGCTTTCCTGGAAACGAGGAGAAAACTGAATAGGATCGTCCAATCTTTATTGTATCTTTTCAGGAAGAATGAGAGCTAATTAGAAGCGACATTAAAAAATTGAAAAGTATTATTATTCGTATTATTATTATTTTTTTACATTACATTTTCGAACTTCTTTTATTAATTCACTGGTGAATGGAAGAAAAAATTGAGTAAGATCGATTTTCAGTTTTTAAGGGGTGTGCAAACTTTAGGAAGGTTTTCCGAAAATCTGTACTGAATTTCAGAGTTTGCACCCTCTCCAAATATTAGTAGTCGTAATCATTAATTGATTAATTATTTGTTAATTAAAGGAAAATGATCAGCTATGATGTTATTTCAATTATTGAGACGTGGGATCACTTCAGAGTGGTCATCTGGAGACTTGTCCTGAGTTCCAGAGTTTGCAAACCCTGGCTATGGAGGCTAGTTTATTTAAAGAGGAGGATTAATCGATTCATGGATCACAATATTTTGATTAATTTTCGAAATTGATTCTAAGGATTGTGCAAACTCCAAAGAGGCTCTCTGGAGATCTCCACTGAATTTCAGGTATCTTAAACTGAAACGGCCATTGCAGCACAATCAACTAAGTTCAAAAGATTTCAAAAGTGCTGGTTTTTTAATAATTTATTCTGGAAAAAAAAATTTTTTAACTCATTTTTTTTGTTTTATGTGGCTGTGCCAGAATAAACTTAAGCTGGCACAGCCATTAAGAATAACGGATTACAACCATCTTTTTGATTTTCTGAGACTTGAGAAAACTCAGAAATAAGGTTTTGAAGATTTCTCAGCAGAAAAATTCAGTAATATTGCAAATTAAAGGTGATTGGATTTTTTTTAAGAATCAATAAATATATTACTGTCAATTATTGTGATAACTTTATCTGAATTTTTCGGGTGAGCTTCGAAGGATGCCCTAGAGTTTCCGCAACCCTCAGACGCGGAAAAGATTCTTAACAATTTTATAAAAAAAATTATGTTGAACTCATCAATTGTTCATTAAGGTGATTACTTGAGCCAAGCGGCTGAGAAAAGTCCCAAACTTTAGGGTGACATTCAGAGGATCCTCATAGAGTTTTCTCAACCCGCAGACAAGGAAAAGATAATTATTTTATTTTCGAGTAACTCATACGTAAATTGCTGCGCACATGGCTTTTGCCATACGTGTATGGCAAGAAAGGGCTTAAACATATGGTAAACGTTACCTTGGGCGTGTGGCAATTGCCATACACCGTGTCTCTAGATACTGCCCCTTGTGGGTCGTTCTTTGACACGGACGATCTGAGATTTTTAGGCAATTGCTGCATTCTAGAAACTACCCTACTGATTGAGGTGAAATCGCGCCCAAGCATGCATTACAGCAATACCCATATTATGTGACAAAATTTCAGACTCTAAGCTTCAGCTTGAGTTATTTTTATCTCTTAATTTATAACATTTTCCGAAATAATTGACACATCCTTTCGTACACAAATACATACATGGTGCTCAAGTTTCGTACTTTTTTGTTTCCGGCAAAATTAACGAATTTCACTATTTTCAGATTAAATAGGTAATGAACCGAGATAGATCGTTCTGGTTGATCTCATACTTTATAAAATGAGAACAGTAATGAATGATTAATTATCTTACAACTCAAAAAAAAAAGAATAGAGAGCAATTATAATGAGAAGGCATCAATGATACTGTGGCTGTAGACCAAAGTTTCACCTAACCTAAAGTATAACCTTCTACACGCCGCAAATCACTTTTCTGCACTTGCTACGAAATATAATATTTCATATCCATTTTTTCAGGGGAAGAACGAGAAATAATCTATCAAGAAATTGCCAGAAGTGATTAATTCTTAGATGTTACCTTTGAGATGCTGAGCTGCTAATCCAGGTTTTAAACGTCCAGCTCTAATATTGTCCATCACAAAAGGTATTCCATAAAGCGCACTTATACTCAGAGCAATTCTCAACACTTGTCCTCCCTATTCATATTCAGAAATGTATAGGTTCAATATAATTTATATTAAAAAAAGCCAACGTTACTTACGCCTTCTCCCAAGCTGCCATCGATTTTGACAACATCAGACATTATGGAATTTGGCTGAAAATCTCATCGACGATGGGTGAAATACGATTATTGAATATAATGAACGAGTTCGATTATTGCCAAGCTTTCCAGAATACATTCCCACATTGCACAAGCTAACCTTTAATTAATGAAACGTTGAATTCGTAAGCCTCATATAATTTGGTGAACAAATGAAGTATTTTGCGGGACCAGGAGAGGAATTCTGGGTTTGTGGGGAGAGAATTTCGCATGTTTTCCCACCGCCGTATACTTGGCGCACTAATTAATGTGAATCATTAATTAACCTATCAAATAATTTGGAAATAATTTGGGGAATTTTAGGAAGAGGGTTTCATAATTTGGGGAGATCTCGTTGATTAATTATTCATTTTTTTTAGTTAAAGTGTATAGTTACCGAAAATTTCTTATTTTTTATTTTTCTGAATTGAAAATTACATAGAATCATTTGGGGAATCGATTTCTGTGGATTTCATAATTTGGAGAGTTGACAAAGAGTTGATAATTAATAAATTAAATAATTAAATCAACTTGCAGCCGGGCACGTGCGCGCATGCATACCCGTTCGATCGTTCGTCATCGGGCGCGCTAATTATTGGTAATCATTAATTAACCTATGAAATAATCAGGAAATACTTTGGGGAAATTTAGGGAGTAAGCTTAATAATTTGGGAAGACCTCTCTAATTAATTATCAATTTTTTAAACTTAACGTACGTAATTAGCGAAACCTTCTTTTTTTTAAGGGACAATCATTTGGGGAATTGTTCTTCTAATTTGAAAAATTGAAAAAATTTCAATAATTAATAAACCAGTTCATTGTTGCTAGTTTTTGAAAAATCGAAAATCAAATAATGCACTTATTCATATTGATTTGCACTCAATTGTTTCCCATTTTTTTGAACTTCAAACTTCTTTGTCAGTTATTTACTTGCTGTGTTATTATCATAGGAAAATCGTCGTTTTCCAATTATATTCCACCAATGCACAAAAAAACGAAAAATTTATGTTTCATGCAGTTTCCCATTGTTTTCTTTCAACCCTTAATGTTTTTCTTTCATTTGACAAATCACATTATTTTGGATTTTTGGCACGAAAAAACATAAATGGAAGAATCATTTCCACTCTAATTGACTAGTGTTCTCTTTAAGAAATGACGTTGTGTGAATTTTCTTCGAATTATATTTTCCCCTAATTTTCATGTCTCTACAATGTTTTTACAAGGAAAAACGATAAAAATTGAAAATAAATCACAATCCAATTTATCGCTATTTCGACAACTCAGTGATCGAAGTGTGCTTTCTGATTCATATTCGGTTGCTGCTGGATTTATCCTCTATAAAATTAGTTAAAAAGTTTTCTATAAATAATATTCAACTTTTTTTAAACGAGTGTCGGTAACGAAGGAAGGAACGGGTGTGGACGCACGCGTGCGGGGGGCTGGAAATTGATGTAATTATTTAATTTACTAATTATCAACTCTTTATCAATTCCCCAAATTATTCTAAGTAATTCCCAACTTAAAAATAAAAAATGAGAAATGTTCGCTAACTATACGCTTTAATTAAAAAAATGAATAATTGATTAACGAGATCTCCCCTCATTCTGAAATTTACTCCCTACATTTCCCCAAAATATTCCTTAATTATTTCATAGCGTAATTAATTATGTCCATTTATTAGTGTGCCCGATGACGAAGGATGGAACGGGTATGCATGCGCGTATGCGCAGGCCTGAAAATTGATTTAATTTTTTAATTTATCAATTATCAACTCTTCATCAATTCCCCAAATTATGAAATCTACCGAAATCGATTCCCCAAATGATTCTACATAATTCCCAATTTAGAAAAATAAAAAAAAAGGAATTTTCGCTAACTATACGCTTTAATTTAAAAAAATAAATAATTAATTAACTAGATCTCCCCAAATGATAGAATCTACTCCCTAAATTTCCCCAAATTATTTCCAAATTATTTGAAAAGATAATTAATGATTCCCATTAATGAGTGCGCTAAGTATACGGCGGTATTCTATCGGTTAAATTAATCACTTCATAACTTCATATGCGCCAGACAAGCGCACCATCTGAGGTAAGCGAAAAAAAAAGTTTTTATGCCGTCATAAAGCGCACAGAATTCCTCCCCAGTGCATGAAATAATAAAAAAATTATTTAACATATTTTAGAGAAATTTTTTTGATAGTTTACCAACGAAGAACTAACAAGTTGTAATTTAAAAAATAATTTAATGTAAATATCAATGTTTTAACTCTGATCAATGTAAAATCATGTGTGAAATTATAGCGTAACAGGCTGTCCTGTTTGCAGTGATGTTATTATATTGATAAAATCAATGATAATCATAAATTTCAACACTAGACTGTGAAACTGTTTTATGAAGTTACAGACCACGGTGGAGATAAGTTGTGCTTAAATATCGAACTGGATAATTTAATTTTTTTATCGGCACTAGATATTGTAGAAAAAGCTGTTAACATCAATGGAAACGATGCAAGCGCAGGCAATGCTTCACGGATTTAAATTACGAATTGTGACCTTGGCCGGGAATTTAAAATATATTAATTCTCGGAGAAGGCACGATATATCCGGGAAAATCAAATTAGGGGCAAAATCCAGTAATCTAAATAATTTAAGGGGGACCTGAAATAATAAGAGGGAGGGGGGGGGGGTCCCAATAATTACTCGGGGGGATTTAGGTAGATTGATTTTTGATATATTCTAGTCTCCATAATACACCGATGTTAATACAAAAAAATAATCCTGGCCTTTTGACTAATTAACTCGAGGGTGGGGGGGGTAAGGCCAACTCACTTGCGGCTACGCGCAATAGTATAACATAAAAAGAGGGGGTGACTCTAACTCTGGAAAAAGGGGGAGAAGTGAGGGGGACCAACTGAAAAGGTAATCATTAATAGGGGGATTGATTTACAACTAACATGAATTTACTGGAGGCTCACCGTTGGGGGGAAATTAACATGGGCAGGGAAATTCGTTGGGGCAGGGAATAAAAAGTGGGGCACTCACGGAGAATGGTGTCCTCAAAATCCTGTCGGTTTTCCTCGGGGTTGATCCTACTTCCTTCCTTCTCTCTCCTCGTTCTCCTCGGACGTTCTTTTCCCAAAAAATCCTCCACAATTGTTCGCACTTTAGTTCCTCTCACACTATTTCCGCACACTTTTCTCCTTCGCACTATTTCTCTCCTCCAAAATAGTTCTCACCAGTTCTCTTCACAAATTGTTCGGGGTTTCTTCGGGGCAACTTCTCACAGGGTCTCTTTACACTAAGTCCTCGTTTTAGTTCTTTCCGGGGCAGTGACTCGTGGGGCAGCGGTGGCACGAGTGAAGGCTGCCAATCATCCTCACCTCTTCCTCCCGATTATGGTAGTAATCGGTGTGAATCGGGGGCATTCGTTATTGTTTGTCCTTTTCCTTCTTTTGACACAGGGACTTCCTCGAGGGATGTCTCCTTCCTCTGGGGTCACGTGGGGTCCTCTTCCTTGATGCGTGAGTGCTAGGGCGGGGGGAAATGGGGACGGGGGTAAGGAATATCTGGGGATGGGTTGCCCAACGGTGCCGAAAAAAGAGTAACTTAAACCTAACTTAACCTAGGAAAAATAAGCTGTATCAATTAGGGGGCAGGGGGGGGCGCAAAGTTCTGCCTCATCACAGAATATATGTATAAGAACATCCTATAGGTGCTAAATACAACTGCCTTTCTTACTTCAACCACCAGTTATATATGATTTGGTTATCATTATCGGATAAACCCTCAATAGCGACATATGGTCTCTACAACCACCTATTTACCACTATTTGTCATTATAACATTGTCGAATAACTTGATTGTTGAAATTTTCATGATACGAAAAATATTCCTAATGAAAGTATGAAGCCTCGTCTGTGATAATAGAGTTCAATCTCCGGTGATGTCGCGCGTTCCTATTAGTCCATCTCCACCATTTCTTCAAATGATAGCTTTCTTGATTAGTTTAATATGTATTTCGGAATTTGGACAAAAAATGTTGACCTTTTCATGAAGCTTTGACGATAAGACTGAGTATTTTTTTGTGTACATATTTGAAAGTTGGAAATTCGTTTCATTAAAAAAATAGAATTCTTTAAAAAAAATTAGCTGACCTTGTAAAAATTCGTACATAATAAAAAATGTATTTTTTAGAATTTCCTAACATGAATTAAAATAATCCAAAAGAATTTAGCTTGGTATATGATTGCTGATTTTCCAACTGCTCTCTTTCCGTCATTGACACTTCTAAAATTGAAAAAAAAACGGGGTTGCAAAGTTCTGGGAAGTCCGGCAACGAAATTAAGTATTTATTATTAAGAATAATTTCAACATTTCTGACTAGCACAGAAACCATAAATTTTTATATTTTTAAAATGTATATATGTTAACAAGATTCAAGATCGAATCGCTTCGACTGGTTCCACTCCGGTGTTTCTATCGATTTTTTGGCACACTCACTTCACCTTATTATTAGAATTATGAAGAAACGTGGAAAATTTCTATAAACATCGGCATATAACTGACTACTGAGGCAACGCTCGAGTTTTTATCGTGCAACACCGCATTTATACTGAAGTCAGCATAAGGTTTAACATTGATTTTAGGAGTGGGGGACATGGTTACAAGTGGTAACTACGTGGAGTGGGGGCACCCAGAGAAGTAAAAACTTATGGTGTCATCAGTCTAGCGAGGTGCCTCGCCATCGCTGTATCATCCTTATCTACCATGCTGACATCGCTCAGCTGTAAGCGCAACGTTGTCAATATTTTACAATCGTAATGTTGGCCATTTCTCTCCAGACCTTTTAAAAAATCAATCACAAATTTCTCGCTTATCATGCCGAGTTTCATGATTTTTCTCACCAGCGATTTGAACCTATGTATTGTTAAAAATATCACAATCGGTTTGTTTTCAAAAGTTTGCGTTTTTAAACTTTCCGTTACTTTGTTTGAAGTACACGCTGTCACAATTCTCCTATAAGTAAATGGACAACACATATTGCTGTGAGTGATTTTCAGGAATTAATTTTTCGTAGGGAGGCTCCGATAGAAGACTTGAAGTTGTCATCAACGTGTAGCTCAGGTATAGACGTGTAAGATAGGAAAAAATAAGAATAATGTAGAGTGATCAGGGTTTTGGGTACACATCCTCAAAAACTACAGCCCTTGAATTTTATCGTACTCTCGTCTACGGGCACGGTTTTATTAACAGGTATGGTCCCAGTATTAATTTGGGCAGCACCGCTACATAATTCTGGGCTGAGCTGTTTTCCTTATAACATTTGTAACTTCCCGTATAATCTCTAGAAAAGCGGAACTTCTCGCACGATATCTTTGTTATAATTCAATAAATACAAGAGCAATGTCAACAGGTGAACATTTATATAAAACGTAATAAAACATGGATAATTACATAAAGTTGGAGGATCGTGTGATATCTCTAAAAAGTAAAGACAACCATCGATTGAACATTTATGTGAGTGATTACAGGGAGCAAAGGAAAGTGACATTTACAACAGAATATGAATGCTAATGCTAGAGTTTTTCACCACTGAGGTTCAGAACATTATAGTAAGAGTGGTCTGGAAATCTATCCAACTCAATATAATCAATTTCATCAAGAAGAAGCCCCTCCGCTAATCCCACAAGTTCACTGAAAGATGGTCTACAGGAGGGGTCCTTGTCCCAGCAATAATACATAATGTTGTACAGTTCTCGCTTGCAGTGCTCTGGCCTGTCCAATCTGTAGCCTTCCTTAATTTTTCTCATGACCTGTTGAATTATATGGAATTCAATTATGAAAATAGATTGAATAGTTTTTATGTAAAGTTGCTTTTTTTAAAAATTCGCAGTAGGACAACAGAACATGAATAAAGGTGTGAAAATGAAGAAAATCGGGACAATCGATAAAGGTCCTTGAAATTTTTTTTCTTTTTTTTCTACTATTTAAATTTATTTTGAATTGAGGCTTGTGAATTCAGGTGTGTTTCTTGAGCTCTTACCAGATTAATAAACACTCAAATTCTAAGAAATAGGCGTATTTTATTTTCTGACTGAAATATTGACAAAGACCGAATCCCTGAAAAAACATCCCCGAAAAAAATATCCCCGGAAAAAATATCCCGGAAAAATTATCCCCAAGAAAAATTCTAATATTTAATTCCTAATAATAAATATTTGAAAATCCTAATTTTAATAATTTACAAACTGCATTTTAGAAAAAAAATTTCTTTATTTATTATGACATATAAAAGGGTTAAGGGTTCCCCATGAAATTAAAATCATCTTTTTTTTTCCCAAATTTTCATTTAATGTGTTATGTGGGGAGTGGGAAGGGGCTTCGCCCCCCCGCCCAGGCCCCCCACCGGGGCTTCGCCCCTGGACCCCACCGGAGCTTCGCCCCTGGACCCCACCGGAGCTTCGCCCCTGGGCCTCACCGGGGCTTCGCCCCTGGGCCTCACCGGGGCTCCGCCCCTGGGCCCCCCTCTACACCCCCCTTCCTTTGGAAAAATATGTACACAAAAAAAAGGGCGACAGAAATGAAATGTATGATTGGGGGGATATTTTTTCCGGGGATATTTTTTCCGCCACCCACAAGGACCAGTATCATATCTTTACCTCCCTCTGGTACTTCCGTATATCGAAGCAACGATGAGATTTCGATGAAAATTGATCCACAGATAGATTTTAATGCAAAAATGAATCAGTTGAATTTTTGCAAGCCTGGATGGGCTAGAACCATAGTTGTTAATTTTCTTATTTTCCGACGATTAACATCGAGTCTTATGGCAGTTCAAAGTTTTCTTTCATATTGAAAATTCCAACGGTGAGTTTTTCATATTTTTTTAGCTTTATGTACAGATATTTAAAATTATTTTACGCGTTAGAAAATGATAATTCATCGACTATGAATGCTAAAATTAATTAAGTGTGAAATTAATCAATGTGGCAACAAAGCTACTTAGGTTAGGTGAGCTCTCATTAGAAAAGCACAATACACAGGTGGAAACGCATCACACAGGCGGCAATATCGTCAAGCCAAACTACCGTGTTCATCAAAGTCATCAGTACTCCAGCTTGACTCATGATGTACCGAGGGTACTGTCTTAACGTAATTCACACCGACAGAACTCCGAGAAGAAATTTCGCAAAATTTAAAACGCATAAAACTTATTATTTTATTCCCGTCACAACTTTTGTACTCAAAAGTTAACTACCGAAAGGTGTCAAGAACTGCTCAAATGTGATTGTGGTAAATTCTTCCCTCTGCTGTTCCGAAAACGATTAATTTTTTGATTGTTTTGAATCGTGGAGGGTTTGGAATCAATGTGCTGTAGCATGTGTGAGGTTCATTAGATCCTTGAACCTTGGATAAATGAACAGTTGCGGCAGAATAGGCGAAAAAGATGGTGAAAAGGTATTAAGTTTCAATTTACACCATTTCCACCAAATTTCACATCCACCTTGGTCCAACGTTCATCTTGTCCAACTCCCGGCGAACGTAGTTAATTAAGGATATCATTCGTCAAAGTAGCAATTTTTGTCCTATGAAATGTGAGTTTTGTCTAAAATTTCACCACTTTCTGATCTTTCCGAATTTTTAATTGTTAAATAAACTTTGCCAGCCCTTGATCTGAGGAATATTGTTATCTATATCTTGTTTAATTTTGTACTCGACTCTTATTGGTTTTTATGCCATCGGTGCCCGTAACCGCGCGATTCTAACCTCGCTTCGCTCGGTTAAATCGCGGATTCCGGGCGCGATGACATAAAATTTTGTATGAAACGTGTGCGTAATATATTTTTCGACTCGTGGGATTGTAAAACTCGCCTTCGGCTCGTGTTACAAACCCCCCACGAGTCAAAAAATATATTACGCACGTGTTGCATAATATACTAAAACTCAAATGATTGTATGGCAACATTGTACGTGTGTTCCAGATAACCTACTCCAGGAGATGAATTCTGCGCATTTTATGTCAACATGCAAATTTATTTTTTCGCTCCCATTAGGTGGCGCATTTGTAGTATTTACGTTTCATTTGAATAGGTTTAGGGACGTTTGTTTCGCGCATAATGAGGTGGGGTGAGGATTACAGTACGATTGTCGTGCGCAATTTAGTGCTCCAAAATGACCAAATAAATTGTAAATTGAGATAACACTTGCAGAGATAAAAGTTAGCATCGATTTGTCATGAATCCAGTACTTAGAATAATTTTAAAATCTCAAAGTAGTGAATTTATGATTAGATACGAAGCATAAGAGCCCTACTGCATAGTATGTGAGCTCCTCATTGTTTGAACTGCGCACAAAACCGCCATATTATAACCCTCATCCTTTCCCCTATTGTGCGTTAAACAAACATTCCTGACCCTATTCAAATACTGTAACATATAAATACTGTAAGCGCAACACCTGACGGGAGCGAAAATCCAAATTTTTATGTTGACATAAGACGCGCAGAATTCCTCCCCCATTCGATCCAAGAAGTTCTTCGAACAGACCGTTCACAAATGTCAAAAATGTGTGAATTCAATCCATCCTATATAGCTGCTAGCCGGTTAGAGAGATTTCCAGCTACTGATAAGCTAAGCTACTGACAACAACGGAACAGAATATTAAAGATAAGTTTTACTTAAAAAAACCCAAAGATTTCGAGTATGTTACCATCTTCCCGAAAGATTTAATAACATTTAACACTAGTAAACAAGTATTTTTAGGATATACATACACAAATACACATGCACTCCTAAGTCCGACAAAAACAAACACATTGTTCTAAAAAATATTTACGGAGATTTTCCTGAAGACGAACTCACCCAATCAGTGAATGACTTAAAACGAGACAAGATGAACATTATTAAAATTTCAAAGATGATCCCTAACGAAAGCACGGGTCACTTTACTTTTCTCATACAACTAACCAACGATTCTATTCTAAAAAATCTAACTACCATTAAAACCCTACTTTATCAAAAAATTACCTGGGAACACCCTTTTTCAATTGAAAAATGCCAAGGTTTTGGCCACTCTAGTTCTGATTGCGCTTTTGCATTCATATGCGTGAAATGTGGCGATTCCCACCCACCTGGCGAATGCCCATTACCCACCAATTCAAACAAAGCCTTATTAAAATGCATCAACTGTAAACAAACTGGCTAGCCAGGTAATTACAAAGGTTATCCATATTACAAAGGCACGAGAAATGTAGGTAAGCTAGATGAACAACGAAATAATCAATTAAAAATTGATAAAATTTCAAAAATTCTATAAAAAGGAAAACCTATCCATCTCATACACAGCCATAACCAACCTCAATGCTCTCACCCCCTCCTCCCTTCCTTCCCCTACCTTCTTAACTACCTTCCCACTACCTCAGACAAGCCTGTCAAAGCTCCCAAGACCACACGTCTCTCCAAATCCAATACTACCCTTATCAAAATCTCCTCAGAAGAAAAACGACAAAATCCCGATGAAATTCCTCAATGGGCAACTTTATATACTAATCTAAAGCCCACCATCGGCCAGGTAGAAGGTAACAAAAATAATATCAGAATAATCATGAATCATTTCAAAATGGATTCGAAAAAGGTTATTCAAAAATAATAAGAATCGACTGTCTAATTTCAGACCCCCGCAATACCCATAGCTATTGAGAATCACTTCTATCATACACTCCTTTGTTTTGTGACTAAAAACCAAGAAAAAGTTCCGAACAAACCGAAGCCGGAGTAAGACCTCTGGATATTTCACTCTCTCTATTCCCGCTCTAAACTAAAAATCTGCGACCCAATCTATAAAATATTGTACAGTAGTGGCCACTAATCACTTTATTCTCCTTACATTAAATATTTAAAAAACTTCTCCAAAAATTTCTCGCCGCCACAGACGCCAAAGTCCCACGTAGAGCCAACACCCCTTTCACAATAGCCTACCTTTCAGGTCCAATCCGGTGTCATGTCAATAAAAACAGATCAGTTTAACGCCAAAATGGATGTAAATAATGATTCCGCTTCAGAACAAGACTTCTATACAAAGAACTTCTCCAAAATCAGCAGCAAAAAAACATAAAACACCCCCCTAACAACACACCCGGGATCTTAACCCCACATATAACTTTTCCAACAACCGAAACCGTGTCTACCTACCCATTCCCAATCCTCAAAAGAAAACTATACTTAGAGGGATCTGAACTCTTAAACAATAGAACATTCTCTGCGTTATGGAAAAAAAATTTTGTGCCTACATGCGCCGAAAGTGCGCATTCTAACCTCACCTCGTTCGGTTAGAAACGACACTTTCGCCTTCGCCTTCGGCTCGGGTAGCAATTTTGCACGTGGGGAAGACGTATCTGTTTTTCCTCCCCACGTGAGAAATATACTATTAGAATTCTTCCTTTGCAAACAGTCCCCCGGAAAATTGAGACCCATCTCCATGGCACCGTGCCTCTTCAAACTTAGCGAGAGAATGATCTGACTCAGAATCAGCTGGTGGCTTGAAGATCTTCAGCTCCTACCCCAAACACAGTTTGGTTTCCAATGCAACAAATCCTGTGCTGATAATATTACTTTTCTCAGCACTGGAACTCTAACTAGCTTTGGAGAAAATCAGTACGTCGCTAGCCTATTCATCGACATAAACGGGGCCTTCAATTTCTACTTCGTTCTAACGTCCACTGGTATTTAAAAAAAATCGCTGATCTTATATACTTCTGCACTGCCTGCAGAGTACTACACTTCGTAATCAACGAAAAATTTATCCACATCAAACCCATAAACAAAGAAACGGCCCAAGGCTGGGCCCTCAGTCCAACCCTATTCAACGTTTATCTCTTTCAACTGCTGCATTTTATATCTCCGAAAATCAAAACAATAATGTTCGCAGATGACTGCGCTCTCCTGAAAAGAGGAACCTTAATAAATTACCTCAAATTTTAACCAAAACGGCAAACCTAGTGAGAAACTATCTACTTAATCGGCAACTAGAAATTTCTGAAGAGAAAACAAAACAAATGATCTGTAGCCGAATGCACTTCTTTCCCTCAGATCATCATATCACCATCAATGATCACAGCATCTCAGTCTCCGAATCTACCAAATTCCTAGGAGTTCCGCTAGCTTACCCTCTCTCATATACCTCCTGACTTCAAACAGCTGCTCAAACGGAACTACTCCCACGTCCTATCTGTGATAAAATCCCTCTGATACAAGTTGTTTGGTGCCGATCCGATGGTCCTAACATTTTACCACGGATTAATCCGAAGTTCACTCGAATTCAAATTCGAACGTCTCAGTAGACTTCAGTACGGGACCATTCGAATGACAATACTTCGATAAATTTCCTCGTTTCTCACAATAAGACGGACAGTTCTCTTAAACTTCCTAGCAAAAAACGAATCTTATCAAATTTTGTAATGGTACATTATATCATCAGACGATAAAAGTATTACCATCCGAATGGGATTATAATGAATTATAAACCGACATTCGTCAGATAACATTCTGGGCTTGGAAACCATGATTTAACCGAAAGAAGTGAGGTTAGAATCGCGGTTCATCACTCCTAGTGACGAAAGGATAGTTTTCCGTACTGCCTCTCATGATTTCTCATCTGGGAATTGGTATTACATACTTTCCAAACTCAAAAACTTGAAAATCACTACGGAAAAATATTATCCGGACTGTTGGGATGGGGTTTATTTCCTCGTCGAACACCACACGAGTAAAAAAGCTCATCCCAACAGTCCAGAAATATACTATCTCCGAATACAACACGATATTCAAAATTTATCCAACATTCTCCTGAAATTTTCCTGCATAGAAATAAGGTAGGCAAGGAAAAATGTTGTAAATTTTTTTTTCTTTGCAATGAACCTATGAAGAATTGTACAATAATTTTAAAGCTTTTATGGTATTACAAGTGAAAACTCATGAGAAAATGCTCACCTCCGCTGCCGCCATTCCAGGGTATGGAGTCGACCCCAAAGTTACAATTTCCCATATTAACACACCAAAACCCCAAATATCGGATTTGACGGAAAATATATTATCATATAAACTTTCGGGGGCCATCCACCTGATAGGTAACCGCCCCTCTGACTTCCTCTCATAAATCTGATTAGCTGCTAAGTCTCTGGCAAATCCAAAGTCTGCAACTTTGCAAGCACGATTTTCGTCGATCAATACATTTCGAGCTGCTAGGTCTCGATGGATTATTCCCTTCGAAGCTAGATATTCCATTCCCTTAGCAATCTATCCGAAAAATAACACACGTCAATACAAAATAAGTATAGTAAAATTTTTGTCCTATTAAATCCAAAAAGTTGAATAGAAAAAAAAATTGATAAAATTATATTTTGAATAATGAAAAAATTATCCACCTGGTATACAAAACCCGTCAGATCTCTGGATGTCAATCCAGGACCTCCATGATTTCTCTCCTCCCTTGAAGCTCTTAGGAAACTCTGCAATTTTCCGCCACTGACATACTCCAAAATTACGAAAATTGGTGCACGTTCTGTACAACATCCGATGAGTCTCACGACATTTGGATGGGGCTCTAAGCTCTTCATGACTTTCAACTCTTGAGTAAGATCAAGATGTTCACGTTCAGTTGCATTTTCTTTTAGTGTTTTTACAGCTACGATCGTTGGTCCTGATTTGCCATCAATATCCGTTGCTTCACTCTTCCACACTTGACCGAAACACCCTTCACCAAGAATACTGAACACCTGGAATTTTAATTTATATAAAAGAAGAGTAGATTTTCTAAGATTAATCTATGAATTCTCCAGACGTTACAAATTGGTATTCCTTAATAAATCTGACATTTTTCAACCATGGACTTTTTTTAATGATTTTATAAATGACCGAATAAATTTTACAGATAAATTAAGGCCGGGATGGACCATTTATCGAAGATGACCTCTTGTTTAAATTTGATCTTGTTAGCCTAAAATATTCTAAAATTTGGGATTAAATTTATGTTACGAGAACCACTGGAATGGTTATAAAAAGATAATGAAAAAAAAGAAGGAACATTATTGGGGGGCGCCAAATCGCGACGTTAATTGACAAGAATTTACCAAGATTATAAAATAGTATATTTCACGCCTAGGACGAAAAAAGGGAATCTGACGAATGCGACTTTATAGTCCGAGTTGGAGACGAGGATTATAACGCGCATGAGTCAGAATCACTTTTTTCACTGTGGCTATGATGCTATTTTATGTTATTGTGGCCGAAAACGCATTTTTATCCGAGCGAAGCGAGGTTAGAAACGCGTTTTACCGGCCGCAATGACATAAAATAATAAAAAATACCCAGCTTACCATTGCGTCTAGTTGTCACTCAACCTTGGCAAATTCGGCCATGATAATTTTTCCACTTCTTTTTTCTTATCTTTTTACCATTCAAGTGGTCCCTGAATGACTAATTTGATCCCAATTTTTTATATATTTTAGACTAACCAGATAAAATTAAAACAAAAGATCACCTCCGATAGATAGCCCGTACGGACCTTATAGTATATTTCACGCCTAGGACGGAAAAAGGGATTCTGACGAATGCGACTTTATAGTCTGAGTCGGAGACGAGGATTATAACACGCATGAGTCAGAAACGCGTTTTACCGGCCACAATGACATAAAATCTTTTTTTAATTGCACACGACTTTTACCTTCAATCGGTGTCTTGGAAATTCCCACGCATCGTCCTGCTGTTGGTTATTCGATATCTGTTGGTCTTTATCAAAATCCGTAAATTTGCTATTGCGAAATTTCGGACACTGCCGGTTTTTCAAGATTAATGATGGATCGTCGGTCATTGTAGAGGCACGCACCGTTTGCTCTTTCTAAGAAAGCGAAAAAATTCAGGTTTTATATGATCTTGCATCGAAATTTATTGACAACAACATTAACTAAGAATAAATTGATGAATGCAACTATCATTATTTTCTCATAAAAAATAATTGGATTAATAGTCATTATTACTACAAATAACATAGAAAGGCGCCAAAAGTGAACATGCGGCTGTCCTTTCGGCGGAGACCTTTCGGAACTACTATCCCGGGGGGATGATCCCTGCGAACCACAATGGCACATCCACAAGAGATTTAAGGTCAGCCTAAGAAATGGGAAGAATTCAACAGGGGCTGATATAGTATGAATGCCCTCTAAGGGACTAGTCCCTTACGCACCAGTCTAGAATACAGATAGCTCTAAGATGTATGGCCGGGCGGGTGTGGGCATCTAGTCCCAGGGGCCTTCCATTAGAAAGTCTATTGGACTGGACTTGCACGCGACCATCCACCAAACAATCCCGGACAGAGAGGACAGGGGTAAAAGAATATACCTCCGCTCTGATTTTAAGCACTGCTCAAATATAAAGGCCGCTCTCGACGAGTGAATGACTATACTGAACTGGTGGAAAAGATTGCTATTTACGCTAGACGTGATGCAGAGTCCAGACCACGCTGCCATCCCTGGGAATAAAAAATGGGCTGATGAGCAGTCCAAAAATGAATATCTGAATATCATATCAATACGACAAGACCGCATGGATTTATTACATAGATTTCATCAAAGAACTAATCCGGAAACGAGTGGAGAAGGGATGGACGCACCCAAGGATCCTCTTTCATGAATTTACAAAGAAGCTCGCTAGAAAGCTCGTGCGCTTGAACTAGATGATACTTCGCCTCTTTTGGTGAAGCTTCATCACTGAACACTAGCGTCATATTTAGGAAGAATACGTAAAGGGACTGACCCCTAGGGTCAAAAATGAAGATTGCCAGAGGGCAGTCCTCAACATCTGAGCACAAGATGCAGTGGTATGGATGAGATTTGATGGGATGTCTCCAGGATTTTATTCACCAAGGCAATTTACGTTGATAAGAATGGTTCGACAGGAATGATCGACAAGCTCTACGAGTTTGCTTGAACAGCAAAAATACTGATACCTATCAACTCGAAGGCTTCTCAGGGCAGAGTGTAAAATGGTCACGAAGATGATTACGCATTTCGATTCGAGTGGGAAAGTCTAAAACCTTTGAAAGCCTAAAGCCAAGTCACTATTACAATTTTCCCCACTGTATTACTTGTTTTTTATTTCTCATTTTGGAATTCTGGGGAGCAAGCTCATAGCCAAGAATTATTTCACCTTCTTATATGAAATACTTCCACAATGTGCTAAATTTCTATCTTCAAAATTTTTTTTAAAACATGCTATTAGTTTTTTTTTCTTCAATCTTATACTTATGCCAAAGATTGAAATATAACAAGCACACAAGAATAGATAAGTAAATATTTTGCGCGTTTTCTATTGCTAGACTTTTTGAAAACTTCCAGGTGACTTTGAACATCTTGAGACGGCTCTGACCAAGAATGGATACAGCAGCCATCACATTAGGAAGGCCAAATGAAAACTATCTTGGCCAGAAGAGACCGATCCTGAGGAAAAGCAGAAAAGATAAGAAGTGGCCCTCTCCCCTATTTAAAAGCCGCAAAAAACTTCATAAGGAAAGTATTCGGTGAGCAGAACATTCGCACTAGCTTCCAACCTCCGAAGAAGATCGGACAAATGCTCCCAAGTGGAAAGAATCCAAAAGCATTCTTGAACCACACCAGGTCGGTACAAAATTGCCTGTTCATGTAAAAAAGTGTACATTGGAGAAACCGGAAGGATGATCAGTATACGGGTCAAGGAACATAAGTGGTGCTCCAAATATGGTCACTGAGAACAGTCTACCCTCGCTGAATACTGGATGGCCACCGGATCGGTATCGCTAGAATGTTGATCAAATTTCAAGGGTATTTCGAATGAAAATGTCAAGAGAGCCTAGAGATCCATAAAAAATCCCAACAACCTTAAGGATATCCAAATGTTTAGTTTTGCAAAATGGCAAACTATTGCCATTGCTACACTTTGTCGAATCTTTAATTGTTAAATACGTTTTTTTGGGAATTTTTCTGATCAGATATTGTCAATCATTTTTTATATCATTCTGTACTCCATTTTTTTAGATCTAACCCTCAGTGATCATATAACGACACTGCCCATGTATCTCGTATAACCTCGTCAATTTATTCCCTATAGTAACTTGAGCGAAACATTGCTAGCGGTCGGGATTGCACAGATTCAAACCATGCAATATGGCCGCTGTACGAATTCAGTGAAAATGCTCTAAAACTACAATTTATTGGATTGAAGGTGGAAGCATGCAGCTGTTATTGACGTCACGAGTTAAATTCCAACTAAAGAAAAAAGACAACCTCTACACTATGTTCAGAAACTAAAGCTTTTTCCCACGTAAAGTAAAGTTTTTAGTCTATTCTAAAAAGTGTAATAGGAGCTTTTCCGAAAAAAAATATCGCTAAAGTTGGATACCCTGAAGAGAGATGGTGGATATGAAGTGAACCCTATCTGGAAAACCATCCTCCCAATTTTTTAATTGGTCAATTAAAATTATGACACCCCACACCCTTTCTCCCATCCCTATCGCCATCATCATAGGAGGAGGCATGTAAGGACTACCCTCACATATCGGAGGTCAGAAACTGCAATGTTTGCAAAGTGTCGGCGAAATGCTGAAATTAAACGCGGCATCCATCCAAAAGTTCATTATGATACGAAGTAAATATTTAACTTGAAGAATTTGATTGGTTTAGAAAAATGAAGATTCTAATTGGGTTTTAAAACAATGGTTTCCTCAAATTGAATTCCTCCCATTACATTTTAAGCAACTTCTAAAGTTAATATTTGTAATAAACGTACAGAATTCTCCTTCGAGTGCAGTGAGCCGCAAACCTTCCCTCTGAGCGTCCAAATTCCAATTCCAACGCTCAGCAATAAACCGCAACCAGCAATAACTGGGACAACTGTCATTGCGAAGTCCTGGGTGGCAGAGTTCTCCTTGGACGTGATTTTAGCACCAATGATAGCATTTTCACCTTCAATTCCATTAGTCTCAATCTCATGACTTGATCCTCGCACAGGTGACATTTTTTTCGGAATAATTCTGCGATCGTCTATAGGGTTTCTCGTCTCTGGACGGAGTCTTGTAGTCTTCTCATCATTCCTGAATCCAGAAGAAATTTCCGATGGCAGGGGACGCGGAACGTGAATATTTGGCAGGCCCATTATGGGTGGGCGAATACGAACTGGTAACCTACGTTAAAATTGCCATTCTTTAATCCAATAGTGTAGGTAGAATAATAGATGGAGCATTTCATGTCAAATCGGATTATCTTTCAACTTGATCATCTCAGATTCGTCTCATTTGTTTGCTCATGATTCTACTCTCAAAAACTGACGCAGTTTTTTTTTCATTTTTCCACTAATTCTTATGTTTATGAATTTTTTAATGTAGATCAAAAACTACATTTTAAAATTTTGAAAAAATTCACAAGAATTTTATATCATAAAACAGTCGTTTCAAACCAGTTGTTTGAGGGGGAATTAAAATAGTATCCAACAAGCTAACTATTTTGGTATTTCTATCTACACGGAGAGAAATATTCCAGAAAAATTACGGAACATTTCACGTAATCCGCCAGCGAGAATTGTTTTCGGGGAATAAATCTAGGAACTTTCAGTAAATTGCCGGTCTCTGTCACCGAAAAAATACGAAAAAGTCACGTAATTTTTCTGGATGTTTTAAAATCGAACGGAACTTCAATTCTTATTATGCCTCAGAACATAAACATTCCTTCATATTCAAGAATTTTTACCGAATGTTCCGGAAAAATTACGAAACGTTCCGTAAAAATACCTCCCTCACGGTGACTCATGACTAGCCGTGAGGCGTCGGGCGCATGAGTAATTTTTTACGGAACAGATCGTAGAATTTATGTGTTGATTCCTTCGCTTGCAGATTACGTGAAATGTTCCGTAATTTTTCTTGAATATTTCTCTCCGTGCAGGAGGTAAAGCTATTTCATTACTGAACTCTACATTTCTGACGTCGCTGAAGCCACATCTAAAGTTGATTGTTGCAACTCATGATCGTATTTATTTATTTACAACAATTTCAAAATCACGTAAACTATTGGAAATAAGAAAAAAAATTAGGAACACAAGATGTTCATCTAATTAAAGCACACATTTAATCTCTTATGACTTTTCTCTCGAGCTGTAATAGTTAAATCAAAATTGGCGTTATCACATATCACAATTATTAAGGATTAATTCACCACAAGTGGATATTCACTTACAATACCACAAGAACTTTGAAGTTATCGGAGATTTCCCGATAGGCTCGTTGCAAACAAATGAAAAATTTTTGCAGGGAACCTACACAGCAATATCCGATTAATTTCGAATCTCGCGTGGTATTCGGGGGATTATTTTTCCCGTTCAAGCGACGATCAATTGAATTGCGCCATGAGACTAAAATAAGATAAGAACACGCTAAGAAAATTTCAGAACCAAAACAAGAATCATTGAGTCAATCCACAGCCTAAGTACGACTCTCAGTTCGACAGATGGTTAACGTGAATGAATGAAGGATTTTTTAAATAAATGTAGTAACATGTAAAAATATCAAAAAATTATCAGTTTGAAACCGTGGAGCTTGTACCACCTAACGTCGAATGGTGCAATTTTAGTGGCATTTATTTTAGTCGGAAAAATAATCAGTATAAGTAGCCTTGACGAATGATACAATTCTATTGGCTGAATAATCCTAGAAAAAAAAAACCTAGAAATCTGTTTCGACCGATTCTTTATTGTTGGAATCGAATAGATCATTAAGCGGCTGAATGACTCTGAAAATATATACATTTCATTGAGTAATAATTTGAGTAATAAGTGTAAGTAGTTGTTTTAAGGACAATTAATGTGATAATAATGCCGATAAAATTTACCAGTCGATGGAATACAGCAAATGAACATTACAGTCTCATCCAGACCATTCATATTAATTGTCATATGCCATAGGTGCCCAGAATCTGTGATTCTACTTTTCCATTTGAGGAAATGAGACAATGACATGGAACTATACAAAACTCAAGCTTTTGGACTCGTGAGATTATAGAACTCGCATTCGGGTTGTTTTACAACTTCCAACTAGCCAAAAATATTTTTAATAGTTATTAAGTCAATCTTCATGTTATTTGATTGTATCTCCCCCAACTTTAATAATTAAGAACTAAAATTTCGATCTGTAAACTAACTTCAACTAACAACAATGAGTTATTTATGTACATCGATGCATTTTCTGAATGATTTATTCTCACTGATGCCAGAAGACAATTGTCCGATACGATAAAATTATAATTCTTCCTGATAACTGACTTCTCTATGAACTACCGTACCTAAAGTGAAAAGTCATGAAACCAAAAATGTATATTTCGATGAGGTGATCAACTTTTGTCCCTAATGAACCTAAAACCTAGAACCTAAACCCTTAAATCCCTAAATTTCTAGATTTCAGGAATAAAATTTTATTTTCTTCATGATGGAAACACTAAAATAAATAGCCAATTTATTAGAAACTGGTTCGATTTCCACTTTGAAAAATAATTTGAAATTACTGTTTGGTAGTATAATATTTTTGGGAATATTTTCGGACTTTTAAAGCGTGGCTTTCCTCAATCCACATTTCAAAATTTCTAAAAAATTAACGGATTAATATAAAAATCTATTTGAAGAATGAGGATTAGTTTGTCATTCAGTGAAATCATGAAATAATAAAAACAAAACGAATCTGAGATGGTTAATTTTTAAATCATCAGACTTGACATAGAATAAAACTGTAAATGCGATTTATTCAAATTTATTAGCTATCATCATCAATTACTGTGATAAATTTTTTGCAACAATTTATTATGTCATATGTTTCCAAGACATTTAACACGGTGTGTGCAACGCATTCACCCTTCGTAACTTTAACGGTTTGAAATTCAAGGAAATTTCATGTTGGAAACATTATTCAAACAAAATATGTATATATTAATAAAAGATGTCTTTAGGCTCGTCGTCAGCGTACTAGCCCGGTGACCAAAGCGTCCCAGTAGTGCAAATTCGAGTCCCGAAGGTGAAAAATTCATCGTCGGAAAATGAACTGATAGCCGGTGGAGTTTCGTTATAAGTTAGCTAGAGGAAAGTGTGGGTAGGGAATGAGGCTGGGGTACCGTGTAGGTACTGGGAAGGGTTGGTAAAAGACCACTATAGTCATACCATCTGGCACCACCCAATTTATTATATATATTAATAAAGTATAAAATGAAAAAAAAATATATATATATATATATACATATATATATACGGTATATATTATAGATAAATTATGAAGTGGATTATTCTTACCCCACATTTGGTACTGTCGAATCCTTTATATTTACATAGACCTCTGTCTTAGCAATCAACTGGCCATCCGAAACAGTGACGTAGAGAAATAAATTTTGACCCCCCTAAACATAAACAGCCTATTAGCGTTTGTTTGCATTCCGGATTTGTTAACACGTATGAGAATATTGAATAGAATATTTTAATGTATCCAATTAGAAATTTGGCAAATTAAACTTTTCCCGTATTTTTATAGAGTATACCACAATTTCGTTATATTAAATTTCATGCATAAATAAATTTGATAAAAAAAAATTTATGCATTCATGATCTTTCTTTCTTTTTCTCAGAATTGAACAAAGGAAACTTTAAGGATAAAAAATAAATTAACTAGTAGAAGAAGTGCAAAAAGTTCCACACAAAAATCGCGATTTATTTTAAAAATTTCCGAAATTTTTTTGTACAAAAAATGAGCAAAAATTGCAATAAGAATCGGCGAAAAAAACACTCAAATTTTTTACTTGAAAATTGATAATTTTTTCCGAAAATGTCCGATTTTTTCTGTTTAGAATTTGTTATTTACACTTGCATTGGCGAAATTTCAATAGTTATACTTACTCTTCCCTTTAGGGTCTCATTGATAAAAATCGTTCCAGTGTCATTGTTGATGGAGAACGGCAGTGGAGCTTGGGGCCCAATATCCCCATTATAGTTGTGACTCACCTGTTCTAAACCATAGGTCAACTCACCCTGCTCATTATCTTCAGCTCGCACTCTCTCTACGATGCTGCCAACAGGCTCATTGTCATCTAGTACCCAATTTCTGTTTAGATACATTATGGGGGGTGTATTCTCACTGAATTGGCCATCTGAAATGAAAAATATGAAAATTAACATCTTCATTTACGATTTTGACGATATCATGAGAATTTTCTGTAATTCGCCTATTTTTAATTCACAATCTATCTTCCTGAGATGCATATATTTGCAAAGAGGATAAATTGACCAAGTAAAACTATCATCACATAATCCAATGTCTTCTAAGAATTCAAAGAATTTTGCAGAAGTTTCAAGCATAGAAGGAATTATATGAAAACATCATGAAAAAAAGATTCCATCAGAGAAAATTTTTCCACCCAGTCAAAAATTGGTCCTCAGAAATTCATTTTATTGTAGTTTAATGTTGAGAGTAAAATCGTGATTCGTCGCTGAAAAAGTACCTTCGTATATCGGTAGGAATACCAGATCATCTTCATATTCTAATGAATAGATTTCGACTCTTGCAATAAAAACCTTATAATCAAATATTATATAAATATTATATTTTCAAATATTATAATATTATGACAAACTGTGATGCTTTTCGTCTGAGATAGAACAAATGGTAGTAAATCATAAAACTTTGAATCGTTTTTCCATAAGAACTAGGAGCTACTTGAGGGAAGAGTAGAGTATCCATAGCCAATAACTTGTCATTACCTTCGGTAAGTTTATAACCCCCATGCTATTTTTTTTCACTCTGAATTAAGATCTGATCATTTAAATCATGATTCTATATTACCCCTTTTTTATCTTACTTTCCACTATTCTGCCTACAATTTTATTAACAAACGATTGTGATCATTAGAAATAGCATGACCATGGCAAATGGAGGTATTTTTTCATGTTATTCACATACCGAAGGATTAAAAATGAAATTTCAAAATTCCATTTATTCTGCGACTTGATTGTGAAAGCAGGTTTTTCCCATTTTCTCCGCCAGTCAGGAGAGGGAACGAATGAGTAGGATATCAGTAGCATTATACTGTCTCAAAGAACCCACGGAGAAAGTGGGACGATGAAAGTGCGACTAAATGACTGAAATACAGCAGGACTTCTTGACGCAATTTTTCATCATTTCTGTTCTTCACTATGGTAACTTTGTTCAGAAATCGATTATCATTAGCTCTATTTGTATCTAGCAATGAACCTTGTTGAATAAATATTTAATACTACATAATAGAGATTTGTTGTTTAATTGAAGGTTTGGAAAGACCACTCCCATTCGATAATAAACTATATCACCTTTTTTTACTGAAAAGGGCCTGAAAAATTCTCTCTTCAATGAATGCCTTGCGATCAGCCATTGCTACGATTTTCTTATTTGGCCTGGAAATTATGTAGCATGTATGAAGGGTGCCAATTTATACAGTTTTGAAAAAATGGGTCGATATGTGTATTCGGAAATGAATGTCTACACTGAAAAAAAAACGTCGATTGAAAGTGTACGTTCTTGATGAAAATTCGCAATGAAATTGTCTGTGTTAACAATCTGTCTGACTCGTGAATCAATCTTCTAGCAAAATTTACGATTTGCATTGAAAGTCATTTCTTTCTCGAATAGTTTACTTGCGATCAATTATACACTTTCTTGAAAAATGAATAGTATGGAGGCAGTGGAAGGACCATAGACAACAGACAAGACTATCAAATAGAATAATTGACTTTTAATAACACTTTCGGTAATTATCATATATCGATGGATTTGATAATTTGCAATATTTATCTGATCACATATTGATCCGAAGGAATCAAGCGAGTAAAGTCTGCGGAAAAGATAGAATTAGAGATGGAGACGCTTTTGGGAATAAAGTAGGTGAGAAAAGATCGTAAGGACTGATGATAGATGAATCCTCCAAAAATGTAGAAATGCCGCGAATGTTCAAATTGCATTATATGTAACACACTCAGATCAATCCTGCGTGTACTTGAACGAAAGCATACGAGAATTATATTCAAGGGTGTGCATACTTTTATCAAGATAGGACGCAATTGGCTCGAGGCATTTCGTATTTAAATCATAAAAAAAAGATTATTGAATGACGATCAATCATGTAAATTCTTGATCGACACTTTTCTTCAGTGTGCGAATTTTTACAACTTTTAGAATATTTATTATAAAATTTTAACTGAGAATAAAAATATTACATATTATCCCGTAATCGGTATTACTTTGGCGTTTTTCTAAGTACGATTTCAGCATAACCAGTCTAGCAGTTTCTGCCATTCTAGTCCAATCAATCTGGTTGGTGAAAACATTGCAACCCAGCATTAATTCGGCTGTTGATGAAAAAATGCCAATCGACGCATGAAAATGCCCTGAAAAACATATCAAAATGTTTCAACTTGATTCCAACCAGCAGACAGTTAAGTCAATTAAAAACTATTGTTTTTTTAAACGTTGCTCGCCAAGAAAGTGAACTGCATCAGTTCAGCTCGTGTCACTGAAGATTTAAAAAAACGGCATATAGCTAGCGAATTTCTCTATCAGTTTCTGCCGTAAAACAATAGTCTAATGTAAATAATTGTTATGAGGACAGCACCTCCTGGACATGGCTTATAATTAAATTTATTTGGAAATGTATAGTCTGTTACAGTCCCTGTCTCCCTCAACGTCATTTCCGTTTTCTTTTCTATCGTTCGGTGAACCGCACGTGACGTGATTTTTCTCGGAAAATTAAATCGATATGTTCCGTGCAAGTCTCTATCGTGAACCTATTCTATTATTAGCTCGAGTTTCTTTTACGCGGTATATTTTTACATAAATATTTATTGGAAATTAATTTTTTTTGTTGAAAATATAATCATTGTTATTGTGACAAGTAACGCATACAGTGCTTATTATTATCATGTTGCCACCTTTACCCGTCCCCAAACTGCGGCTTTCTATGAGTTGTTTTGAATTAAATTTCGCCGCAACTTTTGTCCTTCGAGCCGGATCATTCGGAACAAGGGAATATTTTGTTGAACAACAACAAAAGCGCTGGAACGTAGTGTCACTTTTCCTGATCGTAACGTAGGGATTCGAAGTTCTCCCTTCGAGTGTGACGATGAGATACAATGTTGCCCATGCCAAACATTTGACAGTTGTACGCGCCTCTAGAAATTTGGATTCGCTTGGTGACTCATCGTGGAGCTACCAGATCTACTCCCTGGGAGTTTGGGCGGCAGGATTTTCGGTGGCGCCCTCTACAAGTCAGGAGATGAAAATGACCCGCAAAATTATCGCGGAATTTTCTTAGTGGACTCGAGATATAAAACACTCAGCAATATGATGACACAAAGGATCTTTTCCTGAATCGAGATGAATAGGCTATTGCATTGTAGCCAGGCAGACTGAGATAGGAACCAGGTAGCATATCTGCACGTTAAACTCACTCATCAGTAACGGACTGAAGACCCCAGGGAGAAGGTTTTATGTCACTTTTATGGCTTTATGCCACTTTTGTTGATTACAAGACAGCCTTCGACAGGGTAGACAGGGGATTACTCATAAAGAAACTGAAGAAATGACGCTACAGCATTCACAGGCAGTTCGTCTGTGGGACTCTACGCACCGGTGTGCGTGATTCCCCTTCTCGTAAGGAGGGGACAAGGTAGGGTTGCCCTTCCTCGCGGAAGCGAGAGAGAGAATGAACCATATTTCTCACTTGCTCTTAAACAAATAATTGATTGAAGAGTTCATTGACTTAGTCGTTTTTACCATCAAATTTGGCAAGGAGAAAAACATTTCCGTCAATATCTCATAAATAATTAGATTTACCGAATTTTATGAAGCCATTTCATGAAGAGAATCAAATTTATTGCAAAATTACAACTGTTTAGTAAACTATTGGGTTTATGTAATTAATCTATTAAATAGTTTTTAGAGTAAATTTGATTCCCTTCATGAAACGCCTCTCCACAAAATTCTGTAACCCAACTGTTTATGTGATACTTGTAAAAATGTTTTTCTCTTAGCCAATTTTGATGGAACAAAAAACGATTAATTCAATCAATGTTCCAATCAATAAATTGCTACATTAATTGAAATTACTCTTTTTTTAATTTCCCATCGCTTCCAAAAACGATTTTTAATTAATTGTTTAAAAGTCAGAGAGAAATACGGTTTGTTCTCCGTTTCGCTCACGCGTGGAAGGGCACCCCTGCCTTACCCCCTTTTAACTAGAAGGGGAATAACGTACACCGGTGCGCGGAGGCACACAAGCGTACAGTCACAGAACGATGTAGCATTATTGACCGTCATTTTCACCCCGACATCTCCAGATGGGTGCTTCTGATCAAAAAGTGGAAATGAACTTTTCGGTACAGAATCACCTCCTTCGTTTCGGTTTCGGATCGGCCTGTACTTCTGGGACATCCTGTATAGGCCCACCATCTATAAAAAATTGACTGAGGAGCGAGTCAGGACAGGTTCCAGGTGAGAACCAAATTCAGACAGGATCGTCCACTCAGCCTCAGCTTTCTAATATCATGCTGAAGGAAATCGACGAGAAATGGAAGAGAAATGGTGTAGGCGGTGCATGGATTGGAAACGTCAGGATTTTCTTCCTGAAGTATGCGGATGACGTTGCTCTAACAACTGAGCGCCCTGAAGACATGCAAGAGATGCTGAAGAGACTGGATAGCATCACAGATAAGACCCAGATGACAATGAATTAAACTAAGATAAAGATCATCATATTCGAGACCAGGAGTAAGAAGGAGTGAGCAAAATGTCAGGAGGGGAAAATATAAGGGGATAGTTATTGAAGTGGTTGACGAGTTCAAGAACTTGAGGTACTGATTCAGACATGATTGAGGCATATGAAAGGGAAGGCCCACCATGGGATATCATGAAAATATTACACTCTCAGGGGAAGGCTTTGTCTGGATAGCAATCCATAGTCAGAGCGGTTACACTGTACGGCGTGGAGGTATAGGCAGAGACCCGACATGGAATCCTAGCAATCACCTGTCGTGGAAATAGCAATACGAGTGGCTGATTACATGCGGAAAGTGAAGGCTGGTCGATTCTCCACCAAGTATATGGCGAGGATAAGAGCTAGTA